TACACAAGCTCCCTGGATGATATGCCACGTCAACCAGAATAGCCTTTCTAAAACTGTTTTAGCATGAGGAACAGGTAAAAGCACTGATTGCTAAATAGTGCAAAATAGTTTCTCTAGGCATAACGCTGACATCCAAAAGAAGGTATTTGAACCAGTAAAGTTGCAAAACAATACTTAATTGTAACTTGAAAGAATTTAGGAGTCAGTAACACATAGTAATATCACAGCAATTAGTAGAGAAGTGTTAATCTGTATATATGACCACAAGAAAACAAAACATCAGGTAAGAGTCATCACCAATGAAACCAGGCCAACATTCTTTGTAGAGCATACAACTGAAAAAGATTAGATAATAAACAGGGAAAATTAATCTGTCATATAACATCATAAATTTAAGCGGAGGTGCACCAGAAGGAATTTACCCCAAGGCATCTGAATTGTACATGACAAATTATCTTAGTGAGCTAAAATAAAGCAGAACATGTGTCACCAAGTAAAATGCCATCCGAGCTTTCACGAAAAGACCCCTTACAAGCTTTCTCACCTTCACATGATGCTGAAAGGAATCACCCTTTATCTTTCCTTCCTCCAAGCCTATAATAAGCTTTTTCATGGGCAAAGGACTGAAGATGGACCATCTACTTTGGGAACAGCACTAGGTTTTCCCCTGATAAAGACGCTGAACTTGGGTTATTTTATTACTTTAAAAAAACCCCAGGTAGCTAATCCCTCTTCATGCAATTATTTTTTTGCTGGGAACTGGAGGAAACAGAGATTTTATATGTGGTTGACCAGTTATAAAGAAAAGAGAACCACTCTATACTATCTGATGTTTTTCACTTGTAAAATGACATTCGTGTCTATTTTCCTCATTAAAACATTCTTGGCTTAATAATTGTATTATTTGTACCACACTTTGAATGCATAAAGTACTAAATATCAGGTAAGCTCTGTAATCAGGTCCTTAAGTTTATTAACGTATTGTGGCCCTGTGTAAGACTTGGTAGTAAGAGACAAGTATTTTTACGTATTATGGAGCAGGATTCCTTGGCTCCACTGTATGCTCTTAGGCAGCCCGTTCATATCAGAATCCTGTTCCAGAATTGCAGTGTGCTTCCTGCCTGCCTCCTGGTATTTGGAATTGTCTGATCTCACCTCAGCGGCTAACTTGTTCTGCCCAGCTCTGACCTCTTTGCTGTGAGTCACACCAGCTCTCCACCTTTTGCAAATACAGTTCTTCCACATACAATCTATCACAGCAAATGGGAGGATGTGCTCTGTTCTTTTCCTTGTGACCCAGAGACAGAAAAAAAAGTTTGTAGTTTTATTTCATTTTACTTATTTTTCTGTATGTTTCCGTGTTTATCGTTACCTTGTTTTTCTTGGCATTTACAGAGTAACTGATAAGACCACAGCAATTGGTAAGGCTACGATGTCAAATATCTGCAAGTACTCTGACTGAGAGTTACTTTTACTCTACTTAAAATTACTGCATTTTGGTTTACCCATATTACTGCTAGCACAGTATTTAATTCACAGGGTTTACAAACAGCTGGAAAGATACATTTGGTAAATATGCCAAAGCTCTCACTGATAACAGCTGAGAAGTTATACATTATGGCATCTAGACTAAGCAAACTGATAGCATAATAAAGGAGAGAATTAGCAAAGATGGACAAATACGATGTACCATCAAAGAGTCAATATGACCTTCCCAGTGTAAAGAGGTCCACAGAGGCAATCATAAATAGTACTACTGAAATTAAACCACTGTAGTCAGAGCCGGAATTACTGTAATTTGGGAGTAAGGTGGAGGATGGTCTCTGATGATTTAAGATGGAAATAAAAGCCCACCATTACCTTTTGACTTGAGCATCTATTTGAAATTGAAGGCAAAGAAGCCATATTGAAAAATATTTCTAGTCTCTCATGATTTAAAAAAGAGCATTCTCAGTATAGTAATTATTGCAAATTGTTTCTTCTTCTATTATCTTCCCCGATCCCAGCCCTAAAGCTGTGTAGTATATTTTATACACCCTACTATCAAAAAAGCAATCTTTATGGCTACAGTCTAATTGTTTTTTTGTACCTGGAGATTCTTCTGTGTTTTAAATTATTGCAATGACTATACATTATTTCCCAATTCAGCAACACCTCTTCTGAGTAAATTGCATCCAGCTGGTGAGCTCTGGGAGACAGAAATTATACTCTGCCTCTCTCCACCCTAATCATTACAAAACTGAATTCCTTCCTAGCATGAAGGCAAACAAGAAGTTTTGTCAATTTTCCATGTGCTGTATGCTCTCCAATGTGACTCCAAAATAATGCTGATTAGCAAGATTGTTAGAGCGTACATATTGGTGATCTCTACTCCTTGGTATAAAGGACTGTGTAAAAATATTTATAATTCTAGTGTTCCAAGAAACACTCACTCTGTATGATACATATATTAGAGTCACTGCAGATTTATCATGGACTAAACTTGGCATCTTCAGCATCAAAACACTAAGCCTATTAACTCTTATCTTTTGTGGATCCAGGCACTTCTAAAAAGTAGACTATCACACAATCATACGATACATACAATGGCTGAAGATTTCCTCTGCTAAGAACTATTTTTGCTGTGTTGCTATTTTCATGAAGATTGAAGGTAAGAAATACTTGGGAGGCAAATACCTCCACAGTACAGCAAAGTAACAGAATCTTTCCACATTACTTTAAAGAGAAACAAAACTCTATTCAGCTCCTCATTACTGTTTTTCAGCCAACTGCAATAACTCAAAGCACAGTTGTCAAATATCTCTAACAAGCCATAAAGTTAATTTTGCTTCTATGTTCAGTCTGAAAGAAGTGTGGCAGAACACATGAAAATACATATAAAATTTAAAATAAAAATGTAGAAAGCAAGCAAATGACTTGTTATGCCTCTGAAAAATTATAAAGGGCTAAAATAGCAAAAGCCATACACAAAGCATGAACAATTTACTGCCCCAAAGATGAAATGTTTATTTTTATCTTACTGTCTGAGGCAGAAACCCTCT